CCTCCACTTGAATGTAGTGCTTCTTCAACTGAAACAAAGTTCTGCAATCATTTTTACCAATGCCTGCTTTGGATCCGTACAAAATCTTATCGGCTGCTCCATCAGAATCAGTGGCAGGTGGTGTAGCTCCATAAACATAATTACTCGTTCTTGAATTCGAACTCTCCACTTTATGAGATTTGGGAAGATATGGGCTTTTGAAAAACGTGGGGGAAATCTCGCTCATAGGTGCTTCTACAGCTCCATACTCAGGAGCAAAGGTCATCATAGCTTCAGCTTTCATCAAATGATCGAACTCACCAGTAGAAGAGACTGGCATTTGATTTGGAGGAACTGAAGTGATACTGCTGTTGAGAACATCTTGACTTTTAATAAGGCACTCATCTATGATAGGAGGAACAGGATTAAAGCTCTCAAACGAGGAAAACCCGACAGGCAGTACGATTTGGTCTGATACATCCATCATATCAACTGGACTGGAACCTACATCAACAGAATCTGGAGGAAACATGAGCGCATGCGACTCTGCAGTTCCAGGTGGCTACACAAACATAATAAATAGGGTGGTTAATTAAATAAGGATAAAACACCAAAGGCAATATGAGCGAAAGACAAAAAAAGAGGCGTGACAGGAATGGGGAAAGGCAGCAAACAACCCTTCCTCCCAAACATCTCTGTGATACAGTCTAGATATCTGAGCTTATGCAAGATCTGCATTTCGTTCACCAGAAATTATAGTTTCATGATCATTAATTCATTATGATAGATAATAGGAGATAGGAATTACCTCCCCGAAAGGCAAAGCATCGTTCTCAAAGAAGTCACCAAAGTCTCCAAACTCTGAAAGAAGTGCCTTGATATCCATGCCAACTTCTCTGTCGTCATCATCATCATCGTCATCATCCCAATCCCAACCAATTTGATCATTTTCAATGCCTGAAACAGCAGCTTATTAGTTTTAGTGGAACCAATTCCTGACTTATATGCTTCTTGAATGGGTGCAGTAGTGACAGTACCTACTTGACCGAAAGACTCTCCCATCCCTGTTCGCGGCCGCTTGGAACCCTGAAAGAATTTTATTTAGCCTCATGAAATAATATATAATAAGGAAAACAATACATAGATTGGATTTATGGTAGCAAGCACGTACGTGCTACAACCGACAATTCAATTTCGTCATCAGTACCATACAATCTCCACCCTTTTCATAGATATAAGCCATACCATTTTTGGGCGATCATCATTACAAGTAAGACCAGATTGCCTACACGTCAAAGAATCTGCATCAGCGTCAAGGTCACCAGTTCTAGTCATTCTCCAGCCACTCCCACTAGAAGCGCTACTTGTTGAACTAATGCTGCTATTACGGCTACTACCACTGCTATTGTAACCACCTTTTTCATAAAAGCCATCACTCTTATTTCCAGATGCTCCAAGGGAGTCAAAATCACCAGCCCTGCATAAAGTAAAGTTCCAATGTTCAGGGGTCATGAGCAGACTGTTATAATTTAAAATAAAACCGTTAAGCATAATACTGGAACAAAACTCCAAAATGCCATAGATCTCACTCCTACGGTGCTTCAAATCGTGAGGATTACAAATTATAGACCTCTGTTTTGAGAGTTTCTCTCAATGTTGAAAATGCAGACGAAATAAAAGAAAAAAGACTCACCAGTGCATAAATAACGATGAGCCTGCCAGTGACGGGCCTATCCAATTTTGAAGCCAAAATCTGCAAGTATGATTTGACGTTGCATCAGCTCCAGGCTGAGGAAAGATCACAAGTATTCTTTTTTTTTTAACAATTCCTAAAAACCTTTTCACTATGATCCTACAGAGTCAATTTTCTGAATACATTTATTATTAAACTCAACAGAAACAAAACAAATTTTCCCTTACGGCCAATCTGGATCTTACCGTTAAGTAGTCAACAAATTGTAAATAACCTCCTCACCTAGTCAGTTTACCTTTTCAAAGAAAATTTAGCAAATGATGACTGCAAGATTGGCACCAGCACTGCCTCAGCTGGATATATGAACTTTTTTTCACACACTGATAAAAGATCTTGTTCTCCTTTCCGGTGATCTTTACTGCCAACGGAAGGTTCAGGACACTGATTATGGGGTAAGTTAACTGCAAAGGTCGAATTAATTTGACTTGTGTTTTCATTTCTACTTTGGCAGCAACCAAGTGTAACTTCCACGTAGGAATGATTGCCATTTATCAGACTGGACCCATGACCAACATGAGAAGAGAGACCAATATATCCACTCGAAGTCCTTAAGTTTCCAGAACTGTGTGAAAAACAAAATCTAATATTAATTGAGGAAATTGGTTTTATCAGTTTAACAGTTATGCACTTCACGAAAATGTTGACTTGGACACTGGAAGGCAAAGGTATGAGTTGTACCTGAAGTAGACTTGCTTGACAAGGTCGTTGGGACAGAATCCAGTGAGGCTACCCCGCATTCCATGAGGAGAAACAATCACTGGACGGAATAACATAAGCATGTGAGAAGTGTTTCTATCAAATAAAAAAGCTCTTATCTTTCTTGAAGCATGTATAGAAGGCAAAAATAATTTCAGGTCTCCACTCAAAAAGTTTGTCCTCGAAAAATTACATGTAACATAATCTAAAAATATTCCAGGTAAGCTCTTGTGCCATGCAAACAAAATGAGATGTTAAATCTTTGCTCAAAGAAGTCACACAAGACTGCACTAGTTTCATTGAAAAACTGAGTTCAAAAGTTTCATGCTCTCATTTATACACTACTATAACAGTACAAAGCAGGTTAAGGTCAACTAACATCTGGAACTAGTTCCTAATTTCTTGTAACTTATGCTAGACAGTAGGATAATTTAGCAGTCCAAGTGATGATTCAAAAATGACTAACCTGGAAGCCTATAGCTGGAGTTTTTCAAAGAACTCTTTAACAGTCTTTCAGCATCGCCACTTGAAAGTGTCCGGACATTCCTTCACACATAAAAATCATAGTTAGGTTCACAATAACTATGAGAAGCACTAAACCATAACTTGGAACATATATAACCAAAAGCTTTACGGACTTGGCAGATATAATGACATGGACAAAAACTGCCTCTTCAGTGGCAGCAAAGATGAATTCGACAGTAGGCTGTCCCCTCCTGCATAAATACCCAAGGAGCATTAGCCAGAGACCTAATCATCGACTTCTTTTGATTCTAAGAATTACACTCAGGAAAAAGTCTCACAGATCCATATAGAATGAAAGATATAGGATGAGATATTGTTGAAAAGCGAGGGAAAAAAAATGGATAATATATTTGCTTAAAGGTAACAGGTCAATAAACAAACTCAGAGATGCTGATTATAATGTAAGGTCTCACTTAGATGGAAAGAGGTTGTAGATACCTCAAATATTCTTCGCTTTGAGGGCTGAATTTTGAAAACACATCTCCAAATCTCATGTAGGAAAGTCCAGTTAGTGATCTGACAGAATATCAAACAAATCCAAATTGATATTAAAATCCATTAAGTCCTTATTCTAACCATTATGCCTGGTGATCATAAAAAAAAAACTAACCTTTCAATGCAATTACGTAAAGACTGTGATAAGGCAACTGATATCTCTTCAGAGTCCCCAGGTGCTACCCAAATTCCTGACGCAACAACTTTCAACAGGAGAAAAAGAAAAGTAAGGGCATGTATACCAACAGACTACAAGCATGTGCACTAAACTGTCATAATCATGAATAGAGGCAATACGTTTGAATAAATCATTAGGAAAACATACCTCTAAGCTTTGGCACAGCAGCCTGAGCTTTATCAGTTATTGACGAATGACGCCCAGGTAGAAAAAGCCAAAGCTTAATCTTTTCATCTGAGCAGTAACGAGGAATGATGTCAGATACAATTATAAATTTACAAAATTGAAGTACCCGAGTGTGAGTTTAAGCTTTACCAGGGTTGTATAAACCTTGAGATGGATCCCAAGGTCCAACAAAAGAATTAGTCCAAGTAGTAAGAAACCCTTCCTTCTGCAACCGGAGATGAGAAGAAAGGACAAGATACGTTGCAACATCGTTTTGCTCAGCTCTTGAACTGAAAAACTCCAGAGTGAACAGAATAATTAGTACACAGTCATTAAGAAAGAAACTAAAACTACCCATTGAAGAAAAGCTTAAAGCTTTAACCTTCTATCAGAACCAGGATTCAGCTCAGTTTCACTTGGAAGAAACTGAAACCACGAAACATTATGTAGACCACCCTGTAGAAAATTCAATCATGTATTAAAGAATAAGTCAATCCTCAAAACACAATTGGAAAAAAACAAACAAAGACGATAGAAGACTTACAATTCTAAAAACATTAGTCCACATCACTTGGGGATACAACAAGTTCAATCTTTTCTCTGCAAATTATAAGCTATACCCCCAAAATCATCGTCCTGAAGCGTTCTGAATTGGAAAGATTGTCAATTTCTAGCTCGATCTTTTCTTGATTTGCGAGATTTTTGTTTTTTTTTTATCTATCGTTGATCAAAAATCATCGATACATGTAAAAAAAATCATCTGAACACGAAATCTCTCGTCCGTGGTTTCATATAACCAGATCCAAACGCGCCTTTTAGGGTTCTTTTTATTTTTCCCTCTTTCTAATTCTTTTTTTTTTAAAGGCCCAATACCAATTTTGTTGTCGTCAGGCAGGCCCAATTCTCTATTTTCTCTTCACTGTGGTTCAATAAACAACCAGAAGAGGTTTCCAAAATCCAAACAAGGGTGCTTTATTAATATCAAGAGATCATATATTATTACACAGATTCGTTGGTGTTGTGGTATTAAGATCTCGTTTTAATGATATTATAAACTTCGTCTTTCGATTCCATAGTTATGGAGTGTCAAGTGTGTTAGGTTGAAGCTATATATTGTGCCTTGGACATAAACATTAACACCAAACACAACAAAGTGTTTAATCATGTAAATGTTGAATATTGATGAGAGAATTCAGGTGCATTGACCGGTTTATTTAATCTAGTCGATTTTATTATTTGGGATGAGCATAACTCAATCAATCATGTAGACTGTATATCAACTATTTTTCCAGTTTTCATTCTTAATTAAACTTTAAAGATCAAGGCTTCATATTCGACTACGTAAGGATAGTAGTTCCTTCTTCATCTGATCTCTCAAGACTCTTCTCAATAACTTGTTTGAAGCTGTTCTTGGAAACTCAGGTACAATCTTCACCAAACTTACCTGCATTTTTAAGCAGAGATCAGCTCTTTTTGTAACTTTGAATTTGTGAAACCCCCCCCCCCCCCCCCTCAGAGATGTGTTAATTACCTTGAAGAGAGGATTAAGATCTCTTTGAATGGTTCTCGAAAATTTCATCTTTAGCTCTTCTTCACTCTGTTTCTTGAACCCTTCTTTCAAGACGGTGAATATGACCAGCAACTCTGGACCACCGTCTGGCGGGGCTAAACTGACTGCAGCCGTCTCAGAGATGCACTCATCAGCTTGATCACACACCCGCTCAATCTCAATAGAACTCGTCTGCGTTGTAACATAGATAAAAGAGATGAAAAGACTTGAAAAAAACTCCAACGCATCTGAGTATATAGATACACTGTGGTACCTTAATGCCTCCAAGGTTCATGGTATCATCAGCTCTGCCTTGAACATTGTAATATCCTCCTACCGTTCGCCTCAGGATGTCACCGTGTCTTCTAAGTCGCTGCAGAGCAGAAGAACAAATGAATAATTTAAATGATGTCAACTGAAATTTGGTTTACTCATATGTATAGAAATCTTAAAATGACTCACTGTTTCTTTGTACATTGGCATTCCCTTGAAATAAACCTCGTCATGGTCTGCATTCAGAAGTCTATCTGTGGCCCCGAGGTGCTGCGGGAACAAACCAACTTCTCCAGTACACGGTTGATCATCCGGCTGCAAAGACGCCCTTATCAATCTGGTACAGCCTTAGAGAAATATGGAAACAAACCGCCTAATGTCTAAATTTTCAGTTTCTTACATATGGGACACCATTTTCGTCGAAGATGATAATTCTAGTTGTCATAGACGGTGTACTAAATGCTCCAAAAGCTTGCGGCTGAAGCGGACTTCCTATGATGTATGAAGAAGCCAGTTCCGTGCCTCCACAGCATTCAATCACAGGTTTGTAATAAGCTTTAGAAGAAAGCCAGAGAACATCATCAACATTGGAAGCTTCTCCTGTGGTGGCGAAATATCTAACAAAGCACAACAGCTCCTGAGTCAATTCTTCTTAAACATATAAAACCAAAAAAAGAACTGTGATTGAATGTTGCTTGTTACTTTATCTTTGTCCAGTTAAGCCCTTCCATACAGTTGATCCTCTTCCAAGTTTTCACCAAGCTTGGAACAGTACCGAGAACTGTAACTCCAGCATCCTACAGTAAAATCACGCACACATAAGTGAAAATTTATTGAATGTTAATATTGAAAAAGAGACAACAATGGAGTTGTCTTGCCTGAACAAACTTTCCAAAACCCCAGCCAAGGGGAGACCCGTTGTAGAGAGCCAGAGTTGCACCAGTTAGAAAGCAGGAAAATATAAGAGTTGGTCCCATTACCCATCCAAGATTTGTAGGCCAACAATATATATTACCCACTTGGACATCAGCATGAGCCCATCCATCACAAGCACTACGAATTGGCGAGAGCTGTGTCCACGGTATAGCTTTCGGTTCACCTGATTAAGAAAAAATAATAGATCAACAGATGTATCTAAACATATCTACTACAGTTTAACCATCTTTCCTTTACCTGTCGTTCCAGATGAGAAGAGAATGTTAATCACAGCGTCTACAGGTAGATAAATTGGACGATAGTAGTTATCTCCACTGCAAGCCAAATTGGAGCCATGTCTCATCTACACTCTCCAAGTGATTGCAACTGTATATATGTAAAAATTTTACCTAAGAAGTGTTTTCCAGTTGGAAAGGAAATCCATCCATGGTATGTCCTGTTCTCTTAACTGAACACACAATTCAGTCCCTGAAGAGGGGAGGACAATGACCTTAGATGGAGCAGCTTCAACCACCTTGCTAAATTATTAAGATATAGTTATGTTTTTTGTTCATAAAGTTGCAAAATCAGCCACAGTTAGATCAACTATGTCACCTGTATAAAGGAAATCTTCGACCTCCTCTGAGTATATAGTCCTGAAAACCCAATATGATATATCTGACATGGTACTGGATAAATACAAGCCGAAAAGATGTGAGTCAAGCTGTGTCACAAACCTGAGTGAATATGCCTTTTGCCTTAGAAATTTTCAACCGTGTTGCAATTTCTTTAGCTGCAAAGCTGTCTGCGATGGAGACAACAACGCAACCGGCTAATATGATTGCGAGATATATAATCACTGCATCAACTGTCATTGGCATATCGATTGCAATAGTGTCACCCTTTTCAAAACTTCCACCTATCGCCTTTGCCGCCAACCTTTTTCAAGTATATGTATCAAAAGCACCAATGGAAGCTTAATAATGAGATAACACAACAGAATGATCAATAAAGACTTTCATGGTACATACGTTACTCGCTCGCGGAGTTCTTTCAATGTCATTTGATTGACTGGAGAATCATCAAAGCCTTCATCTCGCCATACAACCGCCACACTGTCATCATCCTTTTTGGGATGGCTTGAAGGCATCAGACAACATTCAGCAATATTCAGAACTGCATCAGGAAGCCATGTCCCTCCAAGTTTTGATTTGTCAAGGATGCACCTAGGAGGAGAACGAAACACGAGTGAAAGCTCATCGATAACGAGTGACCAATAAACCTGAAAAAGGATGTCAATTTAGACCAAACCAAATATTTCATCTTTTCAACATTCAACGTCAATGCTTACTTGAGGGTGTTCAACTGAGAATCTCCGGAAAAGTTCAAAACTTTCAAGAGGGTTTTTATATGAAGCACCAAGAAGCCTTGACCCGTGAGTTTCCATCAGCTTCCCCAAATTTGTGGATTTTGACTGAGATCTAAACACACACAAAGGAGAGATCCACAGACACTCAGCCTTCCGGACAATCAGCCAAATTATCTGTCATATAAATTTCAGAATTTCGAACAAGTTCATGAGAGAGAGATATACGTACGGAGAAGGAAACCAATAGAGAGGGGGGCCATGAACAGAGGAGTCCCAGTTAGAATAGACAGAGTAATAGAGAAGCTGATGCAGAGGATGCGGATGCCATGGCTTAAGCACATTCTCATCCATCAAAGCCTTCCACTGATCTCTTGGATCAGTCTTTTTAGTCTTTGAAATCACATCACTCACCAATTTTTCAAATTCTTTGGCGTCTTCCAAAGTCAATCCAGCTTTGACATAATCATCGCAACTCAATTCACGTATGCTCTTCCACATATCTCTATCTCTCACTCTCGGAATACAAGTTATCTCCCCTTTTTATGCATAAAAAGTTTAAAGCTTGTCAATGGTGGTAGACTGGTAGGTAGATTATGTGGACAAGAATGCTCCAAATGGCAATTTGTACCACTTCGTCTCAGAACCGTGATTCGCTATACATGAGGAAACTCTCATTCTTTTATTTTATTCTTTTTTTTTGTTTTGTTTTGTATTAAGACAGGAAAGGTTTGATCTTTATGAAGAAAGCTTAAAACTCCTCAGTTAAAATCGGACCATAGTCTTTAGCTCATGAGACACCAAAGAAACCAAATCTACCCATCTTTAGCCATTTCCATTGAACACACCAATTTCCTGGTGAATATATCAAAGGGGTGTTTTGATTACGAGCAAATAAAGTAGGTGATATTTTCAGATTTTTGTGAAGATAAGAGCTGATTACTGAAACTTTTGCAATGGTAAGTGTTAGGACTCCAAAACTATCTCATGAAAAGTTGGAAAAGAAAAGCTCACAGATTGAATGAAAAGTTCCAGAGCTCACAAAGGTCAATGATTCTGTCAAGGTTTCTACCGCCGATTGAGCTCACAAATCACTTGAATCGAAAGAAACCAGAAAACAAAGATAAAACGAACAAGAACACAACAACACACAGATTTAACGATTTCACGGGAAACGTCTCGCCGGAGTAATCTTCTCCGCAAATCCACTAGAACCTTTGTGAAACTTCTATATGTGTTACAATCGCTCAAGCTCTCTCTCTCCTCTCTCAAACTGATTCAATCTCTCTTCTTTCTCTATGATCTAACACGATTAGATCTAACATACTTGATTAGAGGAAGAAGATGAAGAATGAAGAGCTCTATAGGAAGGACGAAACGAGTCCTCACGTGATTTTGACTTGAGCTGACTTATAAACCTCTCTTTGACCGAGAGTATCTTCCACACTTGAAGAAGATCACAGTCACTTCTGAAAGATATAACTGAAGGGACTCACAAGTGGAAGAGAAGAAAAGTGTTGAATTCCACTAAAGCTTACCCATCTTGTGACAAGTAAAGCTCCAAATTCTTGATTCTACCAGCACAACAACTTTAGAATTATACTCAAGCCAACAAATTTTTCTAGAAACATCATCTAGAAGGACCATTTACGTTGGCAATCCAATGTACCGAAACAACACATCAGCAAAGCCATCCCTCCGACTGATTGGTACATTACAAGTTTATAACCAAAACAAAAGCTTTTTTTATATATGATGGTTTACTTTGGTTGACTTGACGGACCAATGTTGCAATTTCCATAACAACCCAAGATTATGTCTTAAAAGAACATAGATCAAGGGTAACAGTAACATGTCCCCACATCATCCATAGATCAAAACATAAAAAACCAAATTCCACCCTACATAACATTCTCATCTTTTCGGTATCATCTTAACCTTGTCTTAGAATAAGGGTACGCAAGACAGCCATAATCTAGAGAAGACTAGCATAAGAGTGAAGAATCAATCACTGGCTTGGTGAACGATCTTCATCATCTAGCCCTCCATGCGGGCTCTGGCTCCTGCTTCTGGCTGGGTCAGGAGTGTTGCTTCTGCTTCTTTTTGGGCTCAAGCTCCTATTTCTCCTCGGGCTCCGGCTCCTGCTTCTTCTTGGGCTACGGCTTATGCTTCTTCTAGGGCTGGGGCTTATGCTTCTTCTAGGGCTGAGGCTTATGCTGCGGCTCTTACCTCTGGCTGGACTTACACTGCGACCCCTTGAGCCATTATAGGCTGGTGAGCGAGAGTATGATCTTCCCCCATCATATCGTTCTTCCCTGGGCGAGATAGACCTGTGACAATAGAGACTTAGTGAGCATTCAAAAGTCAAATCGGGTGGAGAAAGTTGTAATTGAGCTCAGACAGGAACATGTAGAAGAAACCTTGGATGATGTCTCCTAGCGGGAGAATAATAGCCACCGCTCCGTGACCGAGATCTAGCACGTCGAGGGGGAGGAGAACGGGAGCGAGAGTAGTAGCGAGGGGGAGTACGCCTTCTATCCCGAAATCTGCTGCTCCTACTAACAGAAAATGTTAAAAACTTAATGATATTTGATGATAAACAGAACAGTTCAAAAAGAGAAAGCTCCATGCACCTTCCTCCACCACGCTCCCTTAACCTCATTTCAGTGGGTTTCTTCCTGTTCTCTTCTGCAAACACAACAGTCAATTCCCGGCCAAGAAGAAGATACCCATCCATGTGATATTTTGCGTCAGCAGCATCAGCAGGGTCCTCAAACTGAACGAATCCAAACCCTCGTGGATCTCTGCATTTTAACATATACAACGAAAAAAATCTCAGACTAAAAACCAAACATACAAAATAACGAGGAAGATGTACCACTTTGCAACAATCCTGTTGAAGGACAACTCACATTTGAGACCCTGCACAGAAGATATCAGTAAACATGAAAATAAGCAAGCACTTGCCTGCTAGCCTTGCAAGTTTCAGTATAAAGATGACTTCTTGAAGACTTGATTCATCTTCAAATAGAATACAAACCCAACTTCACTTCAACTCTTCACTACCATATAGAATATCTTCATAAGAACTCTAATTACTTCTTTGATGTCTTCAATTCTTTAAATTCACTGCTAAACCTCAACAACTTCAATTAACTCACCTCATAGTGTGTTCACACATAGAACATATAAACATTGGATCTTCTACTTAACTAATCCACCCTCTTTCTTTCAAGACACCAAAAACTGGTGGTTTAAGACCACAAATGTTTAATCTCATGTCACAAAGAATTATGAAAATGTATGGAGCCTAAATTAAAAAAATGAAATCAATGCACTTATAAAAGCTTCTCATACAGCCCTAGTATCGGTGAGGAGACACACAGATATGACAGAATGGAAAAGGAAAGGGAGATAAACGTAGTAAACAAAGATTCAAGAAAGAGTTCTCTAATCATAACATAAGTAAAAATCAGATGTTTAAATATTAGATCTCCTATCTAGTAAAATGCTCACCCAGTATAGTAATCCCTTGGCAAGTAAATGTCTTTGAGTGGACCAAACTGCTCAAATGACCTCCTGAGATCTTCTTGCCTGAATAAAAGGATTTGATGTAAGCAGAGAATTACAATTTGCTAAAAGCAAGGAAATGAAGATAGATTGGAGTAAATGTCAACAACAGAGTACTATGGTTTACATGAACCCAAAAATGCAAAAAGATAAAAAATGAGAAAACCAGCCTTATATATGTTCTTTCTTATATTTTGATCACAAAGCAAGATTCATCAAACCTAACATCGTTAACAAAATAGCTCTGAGGACATGCATCAACTTATTGAACACCTTCACAGTACATTTAAGAGAATATCATGCCTACATATGCATAAAAGGTGTCATGTCTTGAATCTTTTAAGAGGTGACCAAACAAAAAGAAAATCATCCTAAGCAGGGGAGACACCGAGTGGAGGGAAGTATATATATGGAAGTCAAAATATGTACCTGCAATCATGGCGTAGATTGCGAACCAAAAGACTGGTGGGGAGGTCCCTGCTACGACCTCCATATCGGCCTCTAGGGCTTGGGCTTCGACCCCTCCTCCCATAACCCCTTGGTGGTGACGGTGTGTAGCTCCTTCCTCTCATCGAATCAAGCTTCTTCAACCTCTCTATCAGTCAACACAAACTAGATTAGAAAATACATCAGAGAAAAGGTAGGATATTTAAAGGAAGCGGAGACCACAAAACACAAGAGCTATAACACCAGCCATCTAAGAGAACTTCAAAGAAGCATTCAATCTAGTCTAGTTTGAAATCACCGACTCCAATCCATAGAATACCTTGAAGATACAACTCGCTACTCTAGAAAGATGAGATTTTTCACCAATTGAAAACTAGATTTATCTCAAACGACAAGTACTAAAGTGAGGTTGCAAATACAATTCAGATCGAGATAGAATCAGTTCATATTTCAATTTTAAATACGAATTGGAACAAAGAATCGAAATATTGTACGTGCATAGCCACAAAAGAACATAAATTTCGTTTACCTGTGGACAAAGCTCGGTGGTGACGAACGACGAAGAAGCGATGCTTCAAGAAATTGGAAAAAGATTGATCAAAGAGCGACTTCTTAGGGTTTCTTTATACTATTTAGTTTTACATTTAAACCCCCAGTATTCTTTCCAAATATTGTTTTTGCCTTAAACTCTATATTTAAAGTGGATAGTCCATTCTAATTTTTGTTGTTTTTATATTCATTGATATCAAAAAGGTATGATATCGAAGAGAAATTAGAATTAAATATAGGCAATTGATGATTTAGTTTCTTCAACTATTGGGTGTTTTTAAGAACCTTTATAACTAATTGGGTCAAAAACATAAACCTTGAAACCTATAGGGGAGGAAAATAAAACAAAATAGGATTAACAAAAAGGATTATTCTGGAACGTTTGTCTTTCTCTCTCTTCTAAACTTGTAAAAATTTCTGACATTACATAACAAAGCAATTATGTTTCTCACAGTTCAATAGATTCTCGTCTCGTCTCTCTCTGCATAATCCATTCGGCGAAGATCTCAAGTTAAGCCGTTGATACCTTTTGATGGAAGAACAGTTCATACTTAGGGTTCCACCGTCTGTTTCAGAGCGAATTGATCGGCTTTTGAGCGAGGAGGCTTCTACTTCCGACGAAATCCCTTTGGATTTGTGTTTTTCAGGTACCAATTTATTAAGGGGTTTTTTTGTCTCTTTTTGGCACAGTATTTTGTGTTTAAGCATCCAAAGTCTCTTCCTTTTTCTTAAATATTTGTCCTTTCATCGGAAATTAGTCTCATGGTTGCGTCGCGGATTTAGATTTTTATACTCAGTACTGAAAGTTATGAGTTCTTAGATGTTGTTTGCCTGAAAGACATTCTTTTCGTATCATTCTTTAATCAGATTAAGGTTCAAAAGTTTGTCTAGGAATCGATTTGCATTGTCTCCTATAGCAATTTTATATTGTTGTTTTTGTGAATTGAATGTTTTGTTAGAGAAGTTATAAGACATATTCTTTCATCATTCTTGAATCTGATTAAGGACTAGAGTTTGTCTATAAATCGATTTGCATTGTCCTTTGAACCAACTTCATGATGTGTATGTTTTGTCAGGGGAGCTAAAAGACATTCTTGTTGCATATTTCTTTTCTTTTTTTGTCTGGAAAACCCAATTACATTGTCTCTGGAGCAAACTTGTTATATAAGGATTTGTGCTAATTGAATTTGCAGAGGATGGGAGAAGCGGTACGTTTATGATTGGAAACGAAGAGTTCCCGGCATCTCTGCTTGATCTTCCTGCTGTTGTTGAGTCTTTTAAAACTTATGATGACTGTGCACTAGTCAAAACTGCTGATATCGGGCAGGTAAAATCCATTTACTTGATCTATCTTTTTGTTTATATGTGTAAAGCTCTGTAGAATTGACTTAAAAGGAATATGGATGCATCTATTTGTTACACAGATGATCATAGTTAGGGAGCCGGGTGATCCCGCACCCAATACAGTTGAATACAGACATGGTTTAACTCCTCCAATGAAGGATGCTCGAAAGAGAAGATTTCGTCGAGAGCCTGACCTTAATGTAATTTTCGTTTGCTATTATCATCAATCCATCAACTATGTTTCACTAACACTTGTGATCCTGAGCCAGGAAAAGAAAGAAAGAATGGGAAATTTCTGGTTATCTAGATTGAAAGTTGTGATTGAAATCTTGATACATGTAGCTGATCGTAGTGAAACTTTATCTTGTGGAACTCTCAAGTATTTTCTATTAACTAACATGTTGATTACCAAAACGTTGCAGCCGGAGCTTGTACAGCGGGTTGAAAGAGACTTGTTGAATATCTTGAGTGGCGGAACAGTAGAAAATGTAAGATTACTTTCACTTTAATACATGATGTGACAACATCTGGTCTTGGGGATAAAGATCGATTTTAGTAACTTCCTTCATCTGACCATTTTTCTTGGCTTAGGTAAATGAGCAAGAGGAAGTAGCTGTAAACGAGAATGCTCCTAATGAAAATAAGATTGTTTCTTCTTCACCTACACCTGTTGAAAAGCCTGAAGCTCCTGAGACAGGCACTAGTAATCCAACAGGAGTTGAGCCGGAGAGAAGTGAATCAGAAGATTCTGATGACTCAATGTGAGCTCATTACATAAAGAGATTTTTCTTACAAAAGGTTAGAGTTTGAGCAAGTCCCGTCTTAGAAAATCATGGATAAGTATGTCCCCATGATTTGATGATGTCTTCTTCAACTTTGTTCAGTGAAAATTTTGATTTGTATTCGAAGTACAGAACACAAAAGATTCTGTTTGTCTATCCTGAATACGTGCAACCATGTCTACCATCATTTTTTTTTTTTTGCTAACTTGTAAATATCATTAGAATGAAAGGTAGGCATTACAAAAAGTGTACCTAAAAGATAGAGTAATCTTGGCAAAAAGAATAAAAACAAGATTACAATCCTGAGAGCAAGAGATGACAAGGATCTAGGTTACCGAATCCACAGAAGCATGAGCTTCCTCCATCTCTTCCTATGTCTACCATCATTACGTACTGTAATTTGATATATACGAGTTATGTCACAAATGGCATTTTTGAAATAAAAGACAAAACAAAGCATTACCAAAAAAGACAAAACAAAAAAATGCGTAGAGCCTCGAAGGAGTTGCTGTCGTGATCTCTCTATTCATCTTGTTTCTTAGTCTTTAACTCTTTATAACAAAAGCTTTCACAACCTCAAACAACAAATTTTATGAACAACCATTGAGAAAAAAAAAAATATGTATCAAAAGATCCAAATCTTTTTTACCAATACACAATGCTTCCCAACCCTGGACGAAGTCACTGACTTCGTCGTCCACAAAGGGAACGGTCATCACATATGGCGTTTCGATGGAAGTTCTTGAATATATGAAAACAGCTACTAATAGATTCTTTGGTTTACCGGTGGAAGAGAAAAGGAAGTTCTCAAGAGACAAGTCTTTTGTCAACAAATGTAGAATTGTAGATAAGGCCGTAAGGGACGATAGTCCTCGTGCTGAGAAAGCTCTCGAGTGGAAATATTATCTCAGCCTATTCTTCGTCTCTAAAGCTGAAGCATCATACACAACTCTGGCACTGCCTGACTTTAATATTATATGATACAAACGTAAAGATCTTTTTGGTAAAAAAATATGATTACAAACGACGTAATGAAGTTCTGGTAAAGATTCTTGTTTAAGTTGTTTAAGATTAAATATTGGTTAAGTTAACCGTAACACAATCATACAGATACAGTATCTTAAAAATTACTACTGTACTCCGTATTGTCTATTTTGTGCAATCAGACATGAGTTAAGATTCCGGTTCGGTTTGATCCTCGGTTCTGTTGAAATGTGGAGCCTCTTTCTGTGTTAGAAGTTTCTCTACCTTGAAGGTTCCTCGGTCAATCTCTTCTTCTTTGTGCCGTGCCGTGTGGCATTTCTCATGTACCGCGAGAGTTGCAACAGCAATGGCGACGGAATCATTTTGTCTGAAGCCCGTACCTTTCGCAAGGTTTACGACGAACCAATTCAATCAATTTCCTAAAAGAATAAAACTTTCATGTCGAATTCGTCGTTATCGATTCGGTGTCATTTGCTCGAAGTCATCTGATTACCAAGGTAACTCCAATTCTAAGTCTCCGTCGACTCTGTTGTAAAATTCCTAGTGATCAAATTCAAAAATTTCAGTTAATTTGGTTCTGATGGGTTTGGAATCATTGGAATTTTATGTCAAGTTCACATTTATTTTTTCTGGTCTTTAATTTCAAGAAATGAGAATGTTCAAGATGTTTACTTCTGCACTATTTGATTGACTGAAACTGTTAGCTTTCAGATTTTCAGAGTTATGCAAGACCTTTGCGTCTCTTACCAGTAGAAGAAGTGAAACTTTGTAGAGGGAACCCATCTTTCACTGTGAGCGAAACTCGATCTCTTTATAAGGTTAAGCTGCAGACAAGTAATTTGTTTGGTTCGGGGATTAGTGACATGAATGCTAGGGTTCTTCTTTGCTTGATAGACGAAAAGGGTGATTCGGTGTTACAGACAATACCTGCAAATTTTTCATCTTTGGATCCAGAAGTTGTGGAAAATGGTGAAACCTTCAAGTTTCAGAGAGGCTCTGTTGATGAATTCACATTTGAAGGACCAAAACTCGGCAAAATCAGAGCTTTTTGGATCGGTCTTGAGTCTGGTTAGTTTCTTTTGACTTGGAACTTGTATTAGTCCTTTCATTTTTCTGTGATTATGGAATTAGCTTTTCATATTTAGGTCAATGGAGAGTTGGAGGAGTGAACTTGTGGGTGGTTAATCCTCGGGCTAAAGAAACCGATGCAGAAACCTTTTGTTACCGATACGATTTTGAAGTTGATGAAATCTTGCTTGGAGAGAGCAGTGAACTATCAATGGTGGAGCTAAAACCTATCCGTATCACTGAACTCACGGACTCCGATCAAATCTCTTCATCTACAGCTTTGGATCTTGACCGTACAACGGTATCCAATGAGGAAAGCATGGAAGAATATGCAAACTTGAAACTCTCTCTGCTTCTCTACGATGCCATTCTCATCCTTCTTGGAAGTTCGGCCTTTGCTTTCTCACTAGGCGAAAATTCCGCCATTGCTTTCTTCTTCGGTGGAACAATGGGATTTCTCTACTTGCTGCTCCTACAGAGATCAGTTGATGAACTGCAAGCACCGGGATCTTCTTCATCCGAAAACTCCAATCAGACACTAAGCCAAGGACTCAAGATTCCGGTTTTGACTCTCGCATTGGCCATAGGATTGACGGTTTTAGCCATGAGAGGTCCCATTGGGGGAGATTTTACTGCATTTGCAGTCACACCAAAAGAGATATTGGTGGGGACTTTGGGGTTTCTTGTATGCAAAGTAGCCGTTGTTTTGGCTGCGTTTAAGCCCTTGAAGGATGGTTCTTAACTCGTAAAGAGAGCCCGTGTGTTTGTACATGACTTTGTTGTATATAATAGAGTATATGTAAATAAGAGATACATGTAATTTATACTGCCACCGTACATCATATAAAATAAGATCAGTTTTTATACATCACAAAATTGTTTATCCATTGGTAGTCCATTGATCATCATTTTACCCTTTCATCAGTATTTACTTAATTTATTATCTTTTTGTGATTAGTCGTTACAGATTTGTATAGTTTCGAAGGTTAGTTTGTGTTCTAGCTTAGAAATAATTTTATTTCATTACATCCTAGGTTGGTATAAATCCACCAAAGGTAGTTTGATTCATATACAATTCTAAAGTATTATTATTGACTTTGACCTTTTGTTTGCAACATACTTGAAGAATGAATGCATAATATCAATTAATAGGGTATAGGAAAGTTTATGGCGTACCAAATCAGTTTGTTTTCTTTAGGGTTAAGTAGAATGTCATTGTCAAAGAATTAATTGGGCAAGCCATGACTATGATTAAAAGTGAAATTAGGGGTAGAAAATATTATCATGGGGAAGGTATTAATTTCTGAATTTAAGATAGACACTTTTTTTTTGGTGACCACTTTTTTAATATCATAACTACTAACTACCATTACGTTTATGTAATTGTGGTCAAATTCACTTTTATGCATTTGTATAAGAATATAAAGTTTTGCTGAAAAAAAAATCATCTCTTAAGTCGCAACCCTTGCCAGTTGCCATCATTGGTCCATTGACATGCATAATTGTGGTTGACAATCATCATTTACCTTTCTATTTTTATAACTCTACTGTACTTCCCTTTTTTTTTTTTTGGGGTCAGAATACTAAAAACTATACAAGTTAAGTATCTAGAGATAACCGAATATTTTGATAAATCTTTTGTAAGGTTTAGTTGAAAAGGATGAGCTAAATGTGAATAACTATGCCATTTTTGTTCGGTTAACCATACTCATATTTTATGTTAGTTGTATTTGTACTGTACTGTATGACATTTTTATAGCAATGATATATTGTCCGTATGTTTATGTGTTTGTTTGCATGCATACAGAATCTCAAAATATTCAAAACATCTTTAACCATATTAACTTTTTTTCGATCAAGTAACTTATTTAGAGCATCACCAATCTTGATGGTCTCTTAAGCAAAACTTATTAAGCTTTGTTAAGAAATGGTTTTTATATAAGAGCTTCTTTTAACATATTTTAAGCTGAGATTTGCTTAAGAAATTCTCAATAATGGTGATCTAATTTACCTTCAATAATGTTGGTCTAATGATAGTCTCTAATTTACCCAAAAAATAACAAATTAAACAGTTAATAGGAGAGTTTTTAGTTATTAATTTATTATCTATTGAACATGCCGAATAATTCATAGAAACTCATCTTCTACATAAATTTTATAATTAATCAAGTGCGTGAAAGAACTTACTGACTTTATACAATCACTTCTAATGAAACACATTCATCTAACATTTTTTTGTTACTGATATATGACTAAGGAAGATAATAGAAACATAAATAAAAATATAACACATATTTGATGTGGTTTTATCAACGCATTTTCTATTGAACATGTTCGTGGATAAAGAGATAGTTTTTTTTGTAGTATAAAGAGATAGATTTTAGTACTAAAAACACACATATTTCATGGTACATGAAAAATAGGTTTAGAAAAGTATTTATTGAAAACACCTTAATTATATTAATTTTTGAGTTTTAATTTGTGGGTCCAATTTAATATAATTCAAACATATCCAACAAATCTCCATCTTAATTTAATGTATCGAACCATCATCGATGCAAAAAAAAAAATATGGTAGTTAGAGCAAAATTAATTAGGTAGTCTATGGGTTTATGGAACTATAGGTTATATATAGTTTAGAGTGTTTTCCTTTTTCTTTCAACTAAAAGCTTTTCTACAATTTCTTAGACCTATTCAAAGACAAGGCAATTTCTTCTAAGCCTAATAATAGTCGTATACTCATCAATTATTCAACAATGTCACACACACACACACACAAAATACTTATATTTGGCTCCCTCTCACACTCTTTGTTTTCTTTGTTGCCTTGTTTGAGAAAAAGGAATATTTTTGATAAATATCATTTTGTATACAACTCAATTATTATTATGGGTAGACAAATCGTTTTTGTATGTATTCTACATCTAATATTTTGAAAAAATATGCCGTGTCCCATTCCATACGACAAAAATCGTCCCCTTCTTTTTAAATCTTTTTTTGATGAAGTGGTTGAAAAATTGACGTATTATTTAATGTATGTATTTGATTTACAATTTATAAATTTTATAAATGAATAAAAACGGTGGATACAAATAATACTAATACTATATAGAGATAGTCCAAACATACCATTCGTAAGGCACAATCAATTAGCGTAATTTGATGATGTCCAAACAACTAATACTATTTCTGACGATAGATTCCGTCTTTTAATTAATAATTAAGTACAACGGTTTTACTATAATGGAACACATATACATTATAAGTTTGACGATTAGTATGACTTTTCAATTTCATCGAATACGAAATTCCCTAATAATTATGTGTTAGAACTTAGAAATGAATCATCTTAAAATATTTCAAATACCAAATCTAAAACTTCTTCGGTTCACCACACTTTTCAACAAAAAGTTAGCCCATTGACATAAACTAAATCCACCGGTAAATAATCATTCACAATCTTTTAGTTTCTCCCTTAAATAAGTGATTGATTATATATAAATATAATTAAAATACATAATAAAATATATATATAGGGATTAATATATATATATATATCATAGTTTATGTAAATTAAATGTGTTAAAAAAAATCTTACGTTGACCCCCAAAAAAAAGAAGTATTTTACTGGCTCCATTAATTTTTCAAGGTCGATAATAATATAAATATTTAATCATACGTTCAATAAAACTCTAGATTCTCTGTAATTACCGAAAAATAAAAACACTAGATTAAATGTTAGTATTAATATTAATACGGCTACTACCAAAGCTTTTACTTCTTCTTGTTGAGTTAAAGAAAGAAAGAGAGAAGAGAAGAGAGAGAGAGAGAGAGAGAGAGAGAGAGAGAGAGACGA